CCTGCTTGAGATTCTTTCTCTCTCTCTCTCTCTCTCTCTCTCTCTCTCTCTCTCTCTCTCTCTAAATGAATAGATTAATCGATTAATTTAGAAAAACTAACAGAAGTTTGCTAACAAAAATGTGAGAACCAGGTGAGTGGAGACCAAAGCCAGGTTGCCGCAGAAGATGGTGTGAAGAGGAGGTGAGACCAGGAAGACAGAGGGAAATAAGGCCCTACGGAGAAGTTGTTGGGGAGTAAAGGGACTGATTTAAGACGAACATATTTAAATGCTGAGGGAAAGAAGCCACAAAGGAAAGTAAGGTTGAAAACGCTTTCGAGACAGAGGACAATTGATAGGATGAAGTTAGTGAGGACACAAGCGGCCAGGCGGAGGAAATAACCCAAGGCAAGAAGAGGGAAGGGGGCCACGATATATGCACACATATCAGGCTATTTTAGGATCTGATATTGAAGATATGTCCTGTAATGGCTTCTTCTTTGTGGGTGAAAGAGGAGACAAGATTATCTGCTGACAGTGGAGAAAGAAGACAGGTTAAGAGCCTTGAGGAAGAGTAGAATATTTGCAACAGTCATTTTGGAAAATGGCAGCGAGCTCAAACTGGGGAACTGGGAAGGATTACCAGTTAGCCCAGAGGGCTCAGGTGAGAATTTGCCAGGCCACCTGTGATTTCCTCCAGTCTCATCCAGTGGGGCAGGAAAAGCAGCAGAAACATTGTTAGTTGGGACTAATTCAAATCCGAGGGACGAGGGGCAAGGGCACAAGGAATTGAAGGTGTTGGGAAAAGAATGACTATAAAAAGGAACCAGAGTATCTAGGCTGACCCCAGATGGCAAGGCTAGCAGGGAGAAAATATGAGAACCAAGGAAACCCAAAGAGCACTTACGTGGGGTAAGAGATAGAGGTCTGCAATGACAAGAGTTTATGGAGATTGTAAGATTTTAGAGGTGGAGAAGTTGCAGGTAGTTAGAAGATCCTAAATTTGACCAAGGGTCATAGATGTGTGCTGTGTGCCTGTCCAGCTTTCCTTCTGTCATTACGTGTGGTTCTGGTTGAACAGATCACCTTGGAACCTCACCCCACCCCACCTCCTGCAAGCCAGTTGGATTCATGGGATGCAGACCAGTGAGTTCATCCCTTGGCCACAATGCTTGGTTCGGAAGGAGTGCGTGGCCAAGAAGACATGATCAGACTCTTCTTCCCTGACACTCCTTCCATGAGTTTTGGAGGCAGAGAGTGTCTCATTTTCTCAGCTCATGAGTTGAAAAGACCATGTAGCTGCTGGTTATCATCTTTGCTGGCAGCATGGAGAAACCCATCACCAGAAGGAGAAAGGGAGACCAACACACAAAGAAAAGCAAATCAAGGAGAAAAGGAAGATGGGTAGAAGCAAAAAGAATCCAAATAACAATTTTAAATCCCTGCGTCTAGCCGTGCTGAAGCTAGTCTACTCCTGAATCTTTCAAATGAGTACCCCCCCCCCAAAATTCTCTTTGACTTACAGGAGTTTCATTTGGATTGCTATAAACTGCAATCTAAGGTTTAAATAGCTGAAACAAAAGGTAAAAGTATGAAGGTCAAGAAGGCCAAGAAACTAAAGATAAAACGTTGTATGAATTTTCCTTATGGGCCCAAAGTCACCCGAGAAGAAGGCAGCACTTCATGTGGCTGGAGAAGACAACTATGAACCATCTTTTTTTTTAATGTTTATTTATTTTTGAGAGAGAGAGAGAGAGAGAGAAGACAGGTGAAGGGCAGAGACAGAGGGAGACTGAGGATCCAAAACAGATCACAGAGCTCAATGTGGGGCTTGAACCTACGAACCGTGAGATCATGACCTGAGTCGAAGTTGGATGCTCAAGTGACTGAGCCACCCAGGAGCCCCACTATGAACCATCTTAAGTAGGAAGACATACAGGATGTTAACAGGTAACTGCAATGAGGACCAAGAGAAAAGTTATATTCAGTTAGCAAGGAGCCTCAAATGAGCAATGATTTTTATACGAAGACACGGGCATAACAGTGTGGAGGCAGCATAGAGGAGAGGGAAGCATACAGACCCCACTTACTGAGGAGAAGCTAAGTGGGATTGTACAATAATGTGGATAAAATCACTATTGCATAGAGTGCGCAAGAGCCTTCCCGATCAAAGGTTATGTAGCCATGAAATGCTTCCCAGTGAAAATTAAACTCCACGTCCAAGTCCTAAGGATTATTACAATATAAATAATATAGACATTCTTTAACCACTTTCCAGCCCACAACCCCTTGACCTTGAATCACCCCCTGTTCATCTGTAAGACAGACAGACTATAAGGTAGAACTGATTGGGTTTAATTCTTTTTTTTTTTTCCTAATGGAGATATTTTATGCATGCATTTAAACGTCCCAGACAATGACCAGAATAATCATCTCAAAGGCAATTATCACTCAAGTGTATTTGGTAGAAGAGTTAGTGTTAAATATTTTAAAACCCTATTTAGAAAATCTCATCAACATAACACGTTTTATTGGCCAACATAAAATATACATGGATATTATAGAAGAACAAAATCTAACACAAAAATGTGACGTTGGTCTGCCAGCTCTAGAATGAATGCCATGGAGGGAAAGCCAACAACCAACTGACATTTCAACAAGGAGGAAAATGACTTTATTAAGGGATTTCAATTTGTCTAATTGACAAATAGTTAATGTGCATATGGACCATCTACATAGATAGAACTTATTTTTCTTATGTCACGAAATGGAGAAATATTTTTATGAGTTTATGCTTTGAAAGTGACGTCGAATCGTGTTGAAAATAACTTCACAGAGAAGATAAACGAAGTTCGTTACAGACTGTATTTGGAAAATGAGAACAGAGATATAAAACAGGGGTATAAAAACAACCTCCCCCTCTCTGAAAACCCCCCCCCCCCACCTTTCTATGGCATGGCTGAAGCAAAGCCACTCAGCAATTCAGTCCTCCAGAGACCCAGACAGTAAGGTTGCCTCCTTCAGTCTGAGTGCGTATGGGTCCAGAACAGCAGCCACTGTCCCTACGGAGCATGTGAGGGGATCTTCAGAGATGACTTCTGCGGGGAAAATACAATTCTGCCTCTCCAGCCTGTTGCAGACCTAGCTCGTGTCCTCAGTCAGGGCTGTGAAGGTGTGTTTATTCAGTTGCAAAAGGTACTTTATACTATCCTTGCACACAAGGGAGAAAGCCAGGCGACCGTGACCCATCTCCCAGAGGACATCGTTGCTTCCTCTTCCTCTGTGTGATCTGTCATCAGCAAGTGTCCAACTCATTTCCTTTCCTCTAGAATTTGCTTTTTCTCTCTTTTTTCTAAAGTTTATTTATTTTTTTTTTTAATTTTTTTTTTCAACGTTTATTTATTTTTGGGACAGAGAGAGACAGAGCATGAACGGGGGGAGGGGCAGAGAGAGAGGGAGACACAGAATCAGAAACAGGCTCCAGGCTCTGAGCCATCAGCCCAGAGCCCGACGCGGGGCTTGAACTCACGGACCGCGAGATCGTGACCTGGCTGAAGTCGGACGCTTAACCGACTGCGCCACCCAGGCGCCCCTAAAGTTTATTTATTTTGAGAGTAAGAGAGCATGCATACGCATGAGCCAGGGAGAGGGAGAGAGAGGGAGGGAGAGCAAGAATCCCAAGCAGGCTCCTTGCTGTCAGCGCAGAGCCTGACTTGGGGCTCGATCTCACGAACTGTGAGATCATGGCCTGAGCCAAACTCAAGAGTCAGAGACTTAACCAACTAAGCTACCCATGTGCCCCGCAGAATATGCTTTTTCTCTTAATGTTCGGATGTAATCTGTTTTTCCCCTCTCCTTTAATTAGACACCAACACTTTTTTCAGAAACTGTTTAGAAAATTACATATGGCAAAAATACGGTAATCGACCAAAAAAAGTAAAAGTTTCTCTCAATAAAGTTAAGAATATGGCTTCCGGAAAAATATCTGTGAAATACAAATTTAAAAAGAAGGCAGGAAATGACAGAAAGTCATAATAAAATCCCAATCTGAAAAAAGTACCCCTGCTGTCAGTGCATCTGATAAACTGGTGAATAAAACTGTACAGGATTTCATGTGACAGGTTTCACATTAAAGGTTTAACTTTTCAAGGACTGAGATCAACCCTGCTCCAACATGAAAAATTGCCACCAAATGTGATCTGGCAGCCACATTTAAAACAGGTAAATTTCGGGGCGCCTGGGTGGCTCAGTCGGTTGAGTGTCCGACTTCAGCTCAGGTCACGATCTCACGGTCCGTGAGTTCGAGCCCCGCTTCGGGCTCTGGGCTGATGGCTCAGAGCCTGGAGCCTGCTTCCGATTCTGTGTCTCCTTCTCTCTCTGCCCCTCCCCCATTCATGCTCTGTCTCTCTCTGTCTCAAAAATAAATAAAAATGTTTAAAAAAAATTTTTGTTTTTTTAAATAAAACCGGTAAATTTCTTACAGGACCTCAGACCCTATGTATGTTTTACCAAATAATTTGGTATATTGCCTTTTAAAGAAATCATATGGGTAACATTCATAAATCTGTTACTTTGGGGGCTTCAATTCTTGATTCTATGAATGTCTGTCTTTCTTTATGGGGGCAATTTTCACCAGGATCACAGGAATTCAGGAGAAACGGGAGGAGTGCGATGTAACAGAGAAGGTACAGCCTTTGACCCAGAGCCAGCATGGTAAGACTTCTGGTTCAATTGCTAACCAATTGCAATCTTGGGTAGGTAACACCCTCTCTGAGCTCCAGAGAGGTTGTAAAATCAAACACTAAACCTTCTCCACATGGCTATTATGAGAATTAAATTGGGTAGGAAAGCCCCCGAGTCATAAAAGGAATCCCATAAATGTAAATTCCCTACCACCATTGCCCATTCTAGGTTTACAATCTACTGGAACTCTTCTGGGTCCCAAAGTGCTAGCAAATAAAACAATAGGTGTTTTTAGCGTCAGACAGTTCCCTTCAGCTGGCACCTCTGAGATCCTTTTCTTGCAAATGATGGATCCTCGCTCTATTCAAAGTGCATGGTATTCACATACTGATCAAATTTCAAAGGTTTCGGGAATTCGTGAAATCGAGAATTGTGGGCCATCACTTAGCTCTACCTCCTTCAAGAGACATGGTATTCAATGAAGGAGTTTTAAGTGGCTTTGTGCGTGCCTGTCTCACCCAAGCGTCACACCTTTGAGGCAGGCACAGGTGACAAAGTGATGCTGATGTAAATGGATCAGTCTTTCAAGACATTTGATGATTTCATAGTCGGGAAGTGCAAGACTGGTCATGTTCAAGCCCAGCATCTGGGAAACCACTTCCCTGAAGTCCACCAGCTGCAATATCAAACACACACATTAAGGGTGAGAACAAAACATGCTGACTACTGTTGGTCTGAATGCAACCAACCAACCAAACAAAACCCTGTGGAAAACCCAGAGGTACATGAGGTAGGCAAATTACTTACTTTTACCTTAGTCCTCTCGTTTATAAAATAAGAAGGCGAATCTACTAACTTCCCCCCACGGTCCTTCCGGGCACCAACTGTCAGTGATTTCACAGCCACTTAGTGTGGCATTTCATGCCAGGTAGTGTGGCATTGGCTACCAAGTCAAGAATCTCAGTGAAAAGCAACCATGAATGAGACCCATGTTCTCACTTCCTGAGGGAAATAATCATATGCCTACTTCCCAGAGCTGTTCTGAAATTCAGATCAAATGAAACAATGAATGTGTACGTGTTCTGTATACTAGGAAGTGCTTTACAAATGCTGTGGCTGTGCACACCGTTGATAAGTACGTGGAATTTTCAGTGGGCATGGAACCACTTAAACTAAAGGAAGAACAAAGGGCAAGAAAGTATGAGCTGATGAAAAGAGAAGGAGCTCTAAATAATGACCAGATGACATCACATAAACAGCCTCCTCACAAACCATAACATCGGACCCTCCGGGACTACTCTCTGTCGATCGCAAAAAGAAACATGGAGAGGTGACGAGCTTGGAGAAAATGGATGAAAAGATGCCTCATAGTCCTTCACATTCTCATCAACTGTGATTCTGCGCTAAAGCAGGAGCAGATACATCAGGGAGATCGGGCCAACCCCTTGCTAGAGGTACCTTCCATTTTGGAAAAGATGCAATCCAACCTGAAGACAGATGTTACCTCCAGGAAAACTGCCTTCCAAACATTCTCACCATGTGTTCATTCACATCCCAACCTCCTTCCTACGCTGAGTCCAATTTGGGGAACATAATACCCTCTCCCCCCTAGTGTCCCTGGTGAGAAAGTTTCCCTCGAACTTTTCTCCCCTTTCAAATATGGTCAAAGCTCTTAATTCCTGAGAGGGTTCCCTCTGAGAACACGCAGTTTATAGTTTGGCCTTCCTCGGCTCGGCCTGACACATGAGCCAGAGCAGAGGCAGCCAAAGAGAAAAAATATCCTAGGATGAGAGTCCACTCTCTGCCCTTTTGAGCTTCAGAAAGAGAGCGAGATGAAACCCAAAAGCAATGGGGGTCAGGCTGCCCAGTACAGTTCTTTGTGCGTGACCTCCTGATGTGCTCACCAGATAAAACTCTCCTCCTTGCAACCAGCCAGCGAGTGAGGACTGTTTTATGGCTTCCATCTGGGCTAGATTGGCCATCGAGTCTGGGTGCCACTGTTTGAGAGTTGGGACTGTTTCCTGCCACTGATCTCTGCTGGAGATAAGCCTTCCCTCCTGAGGCTGAAGCCTGGGATGATGCAAACTTCAGAGGCAATCAGTGCGCATAATAAAAACCTCTCCACAACCAGAAACTGGCATTTCACAGGCTTTCCGCTTCTTTGATAAGAATGTCTTTTTTCTTTTCTACAATTCATGCCATGAAAATGTGAATTATTATTCTTAGCAGAGTAAATCATTATGGCTATTTTAGTGCCAAAAAGATGCTAGAGGGTAGACAGATACATTGAAATGATATAGAAAGCTTTGTAAATTGTTTTTGAAGAAGCATATGAGTAATTTTCAAGCTTTTCAATTGTCCTATCTTTCCTAAACAAGATGTCACCACCAGATTTCTACCCACCTGCTTTTCTCTCTTTTCTGCTTCTTCCAGAGATTTTTTTAGTGTCTTCATTTCACTGGTTACCACTTCTATCGTGTTCCTGGCTCTCTCTTTATCCTCCTTAGCCTCATGCTCTGTAGAATCCAGTTCTGACTTGACAGACATTAGTTTTTTCTCAGCTTTCTCCTTCATCTTCTCAAGTTTGTCTCTGGATTTATTTAGGTCTTCAATGGCTTTGGTCTGTTCCAAAGTTTTAATCTAAGAAGTTAAGAGAATGCCAATAATTTCTTTTGTATTTATTTAGGAAAGTTGTATCAACAAGATAAACTAGAAGTCAATGAAATTCACTTAATAACTTTTTTATGAATAAAGAATGGAATTCATCCCAGTTATATAGACTTTGCTAAGCATACATGCTGGGCAAACATGTCTTAAGGCAGTTATAGTTTATAAACCTGTCAGAGTACCATTATTGGAGGATGTAGAGTGTGAGGCACTTTTGTCTTTATTAGCTTAATATGTAAAATTTTTCCAGATTTGCTTACAAAAGAGTATGAATAAAAAGGTTGAAATTCTGGCAAATACTACAACATGGATGAACCTTAAAGACATTACAATAAGTAAAATAAGCCAGACACAAAAGGACAATTATTTTATAACTCTCTTTATATGAGGTACCTAGGATAGGCTAATTCACCCAGAAAGTAGAATAGAATTCCATCCCCAGTGGAGGAATGTGGAGTTATTTAATGGGCACTGAGTTTCAGTTTAGGATGACAAAAAGTTCTGGAAATGGATAGTGGTGATGGTCGCACAACACTGTGAATGTACTTAATGCTACTGAGTTGTACGCTTAAAAATGGTTAAAATGAGGGTGCCTGGGTGGCTCAGTCGGTTAAGCGTCCGGCTTCGGCTCAGGTCATGATCTCACGGTTTATGAGTTCGAGTCCCACATCGGGCTCTGTGCTGACACCTCAGAGCCTGGAGCCTGTTTCAGATTCTGTGTCTCTCCCTCTCTCTGCTCCTCCCCTGCTTGTGCGCGCTCTCTCTCTCTCAAAAATAAATAAACATTTAAAAAAAATTTTTTTAATGGTTAAAATGGTAGCTTTTATGTTATGTATATTTCACCACAATTATAAAAAAAAAGAACTGGAGGCAGTTTTCATATTTGACACAAAATTTTTAAAACTGACCATTAAAAATAAATATGAATGAGCTAGCACTTAACCCCCACTGGGATGACCATAACCAAAATGAGACACAATAACAAGTGTTGGCAAGGATGTGGAGAAGTCGGAGCCCTTACATACTGATGATGGGAAGCAGCTGGTGTAGCTGCTACGAAAACCAGTTAACCAGTTTTCAAAATGTTAAACACAGAGTTAACACAGGACCCAGCAATTCCACATCCAGGTTTATATATTCAAGAGATTTGAAAACTTGTGTCATACAGAACCTGTATACAAAAAAAACTGTATACAGCAGCACTATTCATGATCACCAAAAAGTCAAAACAACCCAAATACCCATCAACTGATGAGCAGATACATAAAATGTGGTCTCCCCATGCACTGGAATGTCATTTGGCGACAAGAAGAAACGAAAATCCTGACACCTTGGATGAAGCCCAAAAACATTATGCTAAGGGGGAAAAGTCAGTCACAAAAGACCGCTGACTGTATTAGTCCATTTATATGAAAGATCTGGAAAAGGCCAGGGACTGGTGGGAGGGGAGATTGGGGAGTAACTGCTAATGGGTTTTAAGGATGATGCAAATGTTCTGAAATTAGATAATGGAAATTTGGTTCCATCCACTATAACACACACAACTTCTTAAGAATTTAGCTCCTTTTCCGGCAGAGAGGAGGCTGATGGCAGACGTGCTTGGACAAACTCAAAGCTCCCAACTGGTTCCATGCAAGAGACAGGTAATCTTTGGGAAACTGACAGCTGCTGTGGGACTTGCAATCAAGAAGGCATAAAAACTACCACTGCAGCTTGGGAAATCCGTAGGCCATAAGATGTCAATAGTTGGTGGAGAAAGGAACTCTAAGTCCATTTTTGAGCCAATGACATGGCACTAGAAGACCTACCACTTGAGTCAAGTTAATGGCACCCACTAAGTGCAGGTCTACAGAGGTGGACATGGCAGATCATTCATGGATTTCAAGTTATCAAAACCCACATCTGAATATGCCTAGCATATTAGATATAGTATAATAGAGTATCGCCTCGATGGTGCTTCCCGAGTGTGATGATGTACAGTGGTCACATAGAAGAATACTCTTGGTCTTGGGGTGCCTGGGTGGCTCAGTAGGTTCAGCATCTGACTCTTGATTTCAGCTCAGGTCATGATCTCACAGTTCATGAGATCAAGCCCCAAGTTGGTCTCTGTGCTGATAGCATGGAGCCTGCTTGGGATTCATTCATTCTCTCTCTCTCTCTCTCTCTCTCTCTCCCTCTCTGCTCCTCTCCTGCTTGCTCGCTCACAGACATGTGTGCTCTCTCTCTCAAAATAAATAAACATTTAAAAATAAATAAATAAAAGCTTTAAAATAATTTGTGACATGGCCCAGGAACTATATAAAATATCCATAATTCAGCAATTTGATCATCAACTTAAGAATTTAAAAAGAAGGAGGAGGAGGAGAAGAAAAAGAAGAGGAGGAGGAGGAGGAGTATTCTTGGTCTTAAGAGATACCAGGCAAGTATTTAGGGGTAAAGTGTCATAATGCATGTAACTTACTCTCAGATGGTTCAGCAAAAATGAAAACCTCCCACCCTCATTAGGCAAAACACAGCAATCAGTAAAATTTAACAATTATCACATAAATCATTATGTGAAGAATAAAATACTGTCCATTATACTACTCTTGCAACTGTTCTATAGATTTGAAATTCTTCTTCTGACAAGAAGTCAGAAAAGGGAACTTTCCTCAGCCATAGCAATTTCTTACTTGATACATCTCCAAAGGCAAGGGAATTAAAAGCAAAAATGAACCACTGGGACCTCATGAAAATAAAAAGCTTCTGCACAGCAAAGGAAACAATCAACAAAACTAAAAGGCAACCAACGGAATGGGAAAAGATATTCGCAAATGACATAGCAGACCAAGGGCTTGTATCCAAAATCTATAAAGACCTCACCAAACTCCACACCCGAAAAACAAATAATCCAGTGAAGAAATGGGCAGAAAACATGAATAGACACTTCTCTAAAGAAGACATCCAGATGGCCAACAGGCACATGAAAAGATGCTCAACGTCACTCCTCATCAGGGAAATACAAATCAAAACCACAATGAGATACCACTTCAAGCCAGTCAGAGTGGCTAAAACGAACAAATCGGGAGACTATAGATGCTGGAGAGGATATGGAGAAATGGGAACCCTCTTGCACTGTTGGTGGGAATGCAAACTGGTGCAGCCACTCTGGAAAACAGTGTGGAGGTTCCTCAAAAAATTAAAAATAGATCTACCCTATGACCCAGCAATAGCACTGCTAGGAATTTACCCAAGGGATACAGGAGTGCTGATGCAGAGGCACTTGTACCCCAATGTTTATAGCAGCACTCTCAACAATAGCCAAATTATGGAAAGAGCCTATATGTCCATCAACTGATGAATGGATAAAGAAGATGTGGTTTATATACACAATGAAATACTACATGGCAATGAGAAAGAATGAAATATGGCCTTTTGTAGCAATGTGGATGGAACTGGAGAGGGTTATGTTAAGTGAAATAAGTCATACAGAGAAAGACAGATACCATCTGTTTTGACTCATGTGGATCCTGAGAAACTTAACAGAAGACCACGGGGGAGGGGAAGGAAAAAAAAAAAAAGTTAGAGAGGGAGGGAGCCAAACCATAAGAGACTCTTAAAAACTGAGAATAAACTGAGGGTTGATGTGGGGCGGGAGGGAGGGGAAAGTGGGTGATGGGTACTGAGGAGGGCACCTGTTAGGATGAGCACTGGGTGTTGTATGGAAACCAATTTGACAATAAATTTCTTATTAAAAAAAAAGAAAAGGGAACTTTCCCATGCATGATCAATACAACACACATCCTACTCATAAACGTTTTAATATATATATATATATTTATAAATTATACAAGCAGCTGCTCTAAATAATATATTCCATGGATTATCAAACATTTTACAAATTGGATACATTACATGAATGAAATCTATCAATTTTAAAACAAAGCTATCTCCCTTTAAGACAGAGATTCCCCTCATATGCAAACTGTCTCCCTGCTGCAGAGCAAATGGACAGCAAAGTGGGAAGTTGCTGGGATTGGGATATTGAATTCAAAACCTTGTATTAACAGATACATGCAGCCTTTCTGCTCAGACTGGAAAAACATTTACAGTGGGCTATCTACCAAAAGTGACGGAACACAGCTTGGAGAGCTGGAAGTACATAAATCAGGTCCTAATGAGAAGAATTCATAGCCAAGAATTTCTGAAAAATATGAGACATTATCACAATCCTAAGGGCTGCCTCAGTTCTTGTCATCGGGGAGCAAAGGCGAGTCAAGGAGCTCTGAGCCAAGCCACCAGAAACAGAACTGAAAGCCAGTGGACAACAGAGACCTCAGACTCCTAAATCAAACCCAACAAACAAACGAGATTCCTGGGAGTGGGGGCGTGGCTAAGCTGGTCTCTTAGTTCCCCCTAAAGGAGCCTCCCAGATCCGGCCCAGAGTTCAACAAGAGCCTGTGCTGCTAATGGTCTTCCGGTGGGGCAGAACTGGTCATAAACAAGACTGACATGCCACCCAGAGCCCAGCAAGGATGGAGAAGGTTCTGAGTGTCTTCTTGAGAGAAAAAATTTCAAAATCTGGTGAATGATTCTCTGTCATGTCAGAAGGTCTGAAGGCCCTCAAAGAGATGGTGATTAAATTTAAAATCTGATGTGTTGAATTCCCTCCCCACCCCACTCCCCAACCCCCGGCCTCGAGGATCTAAATTCTCTAGCTGGAGGGTTTTCAAGAAACTGCATAGAAAATGCAAACCTGCAGGAAGGAGCTAGGCACCTCACACAGACTCATTGAAGACAGTGGGGTAGCACAGCAGGAGAGTATCCCCACGGCCCAAAAACATGTTATGTCTCTACTAAAGAGAACCAACCATAGGTATCTTACTAGAAGGAAACTGAAGCTGAAATTAAAGGAAGGGGTTCATTTGACGTTGCAATCTGAGCACACTTCCACTCTTCTACAACCCATTCTTTAACCCATTCTACAACCCAAG